TAAAGAAAAGTAAATAAGCGTTCGTGCACAACGCTTCCTAACACAACATATAATCATACCCGCGTGAAAATCCCATACTTGAGATATTTTATGATATCAACGTCACTAATTCTGATACAATTTATAAAATAATGAAAAAAAAATTCTATAGATGATAAATTTCTTCCAATTACATACTAATTACCCATTTCAAAGTAAATCATTATTCCTATTTCTACAAAACTAAAACACTTTAAATTCATTTCTTTTTTTCGGTTTATTTAAATAAAATATTCAATGTAGACATAGTTTGTTGGATTCAAAGATTAATTATGTTCTAACACATTGTCATGATCAAAAAATTTTAAGTGCTGTTCAAAGTATCATACAGAATATGATTGGTAATGGTGAAACATCTGTACAACAATTACACTATTTACAAAGTAAGCTATCTTCATTATGTGTTTTTATTTTATTCTATATAAATATGTTTGTTATGAAAGCTGTTGGGACATTCAGAAAAATATCCCAAAAATTATTCTGTTAAGTCTAACGCTATCCTTGGACTTGAGATGGTATCATTTTCTTATTGGTCAATATTCATTTCACGTGTCATTTTCCTACCGGTCAATATTGTACAAATGTTATTTTCTATTTTATGGTACAATGTGGTCTGCTTGATTGATATATAAACAGAGTATGTTTGAAATATAATGATTCATATCGCTGAGGCTGAGACTGGCATTCTGAACTCAACTGGCTGGGCTAGACAGGGAAGCGGGACCAATCAGGATTCTAGGTAGTTCTTACGTATTTACGCGTCTTTGAATCCATCGATAATTCGCTAACCTCCAATCTGCAGTATTTCACGTTACAACAAAAGCATATTTTTTAAATAAATAAATAGATGCAATCTTATTTGTAATATGTATTGAGTAAGTTCAATTACCAACAGAAATCTTGATTAACTATAAGAATCTTTCTCCATGTTATTTATTATCTTTAAACAAAAAATAAAGATAAATGTGGGCCATTGAGAAAATTGTGTTACATTGTTATCTCATTATAATTGACTTTTTATTTTAAAAAAAACACAATTATACTGTTTCATCTTTGCTCATCTAAATATTATTGTAAAGCAATAAATTTAATAAAATATAATAAGATTTTCTGTGTGCTTTTAGTAGTATTGATACTTAATTTATCGAATTTACATGTTTCACCGATATTTTTTTAAAGTTACGGAAAACTTTTTTTCAAAGTAGACATTCTTCTTTTTGTTTGTACTTAAGTTTGTTTCTACTCCAGTTATATGTAATCTGTTTTATTAATATAATAGAAGATAGGACTAAACCGTTCATTGCAGTTTAAATCCACATATCAGTTGCAATTCTTTGAAGATTTCCTCATCTTAAATCTTTATTACAGTGTTTTTTGTTAAGATTAAAAGTCACGTTGATTTAACGAAGTGTGGTAACTAATGCCGTATTCTCCATCCTTAGTACTAGCTGAATTCTATCGGTCATGTTGTAATATGGTTACTGGTTCAAGTAAGTTGACATTATGGTACATTGTATTTAAGTATTAGGTAATGGAAGGCAATCAACTAAAAACCTTGAAATTAGGTTTCTAAGGATTGTACATATCACTAAGGTGTATCTGCAATCTCTAAAATGATGGAATCAAAATCACTCATTGTCACTGCCAGAGGCGTTATCACTAAGTTATTCAGTTTGCCAACACGTGCTATTTAGTATGAAGTTCAGATCCAGAACAAATTTATATACATCATTAATACTTTACGAACCACTTGTTATCGACAATTGAATAAATATATGTAGATAATGATATGTCTTTGTAAAGATTTTATATGGGATGAAAATAGTCTTCGCTGCAAACTAATATCATCTGAAGAACTATTGAAAAAAGAACTAGCCAACCTAAGCAAGTGATTGAGGCTATAATCTTTGGGTCTTCTACTGAATAAGATCCAGTTTAACCACTAATATCAACGATACTCATTATCTGTTTCAGTCAACTTTAAATACACTACATTCTTTATTCATTGTAATCAGCATAGTAATGTCTTCCTCTCCACTGAATTGAACACGCAGATCATGACATCCTGTTAGAGTTCCAGAAAATTCATATGGAATCTGGTCAGTAATTAACACATGATTATTAATCACTGAACTGGTTGCGTGAAGATTTCATGGAAATGGGATATAGTTTCCATCACGGAATTGGACAAAACAGTTTTCTACTAATTCTTGATTCCTAAGTATTATGTATATATGTATTCATACTGGATATAATGACTCAGAGTAAATTAACAAAGTATTTCATGGTGTATTTTCTTTTGAATTAGTGTTACGATTTCAAACAGGCCATTCAGAGTTATTACTTTCTAAACTCATATTTCATTCTATTTACCCCACTTGAGAATTTTCTAGACTTTTTCACACAGCAATTTAATTATGTTACATTTAAATATATATATCAGGCCTGACTTATGCATTCCAAAACGATTTTATTCGAAGCTTCATTTAATTTCGGTCAAAAAATAATTAATTCATACCTATTAATTTTGTATATTAGTATGTTCATTTTTTCCCTTACTGACCTTTTCTTAACATTTTCGACAGAACAATTTTCATTCATCTAACAGCAATTTTTCTCTAACTGTTTCGTATCATCCTTTAAACAGTTGTGTAACTTGTTTAAATACTTGAAAACACAGTTTATCTTACTTTTATCTCTTAGATTACAGACTTAAGTGTGCTAGATAACTATAAATACCATTGTACAGCTAATGAGGATTTTCTTTACTTATTAGCCGTACTGCTGTTTCAAATTGCTTTATTTTTTACCTCAAGTTTTATATTTTCACTTTGCATTCCAAGGTATCGGTTTTGGTGGTCTATGGAGATTTTCCGGGCACTTTTCTAAGGTGTGTTTATTAATTATTTCATCTGATATTTATTCATAGATAATTAAGTTGTCTTTCATTTGTAAACTTGTTTTCCACTTCAAAAATAAAAAGATTTGTTCATGGTACTTTAAATCTTTTTTTATTTCGGAGCACATAGTGAATAAACAGAAAAAGGCAACTATTGTTTCTCTATCATCACTATTGGTAAATTAATTGAGTTACAATTTAAATGGTTCATACTGTTAAAAAGACGTAGTAAAAGATTTATTATAACATTAATTTTCAATCTAACCCCATTCACATCAAAGCACTGAATTAAACTATAATAACTGCTAAATACATTCTATGTTGTAACTAGGATTGTTATTCACTCGATATTTCTTAGATTGGCAGAGATTAATCATTTTAAAAGCACAAATGAAATGCCTTAAAATTGATCATGATAACTCTATAGTTTGTTGCAAAAGATGGTCACATTCACATTGTTTGACTTCGAATAACTGATTATAATAGTGATATGATGGATGGTTCAAAATATTTCTCTCTCTCGCGCGCGCGAGTATACTACGATGATACGTTAATACTATAATAAGACTAGTCACATTATGTCAGATTCAGGATTCACGACCCAGAATAGACTAGAAAATACTTTATTGAATACATTAACAAGCAATCAGTCTCAGTTAATCCGGAGCAGAAATCAATGAGAGAAAAGGAAATCACATATTAAGCACTCATTGGGTTATCTCTCTCGATCCACACTCAGTGATAGACCCCATTTTACATTCACTTTCACACACCAATTAGTTTTGACAACAATAACCATTAGTATCATTATGCAACTATTTCTTGCTTCTGAGTTACTTCGATGTGTGAAAATGTATACTAATTCTCTATTGTATAAGAATTTCACGTCAATTTAATCAGTCACTTGATAAATCTGATATTGATTGATTTTGGGATTACATATTAACGTCACTAATTCCATGACAAACTAAATTTCAAGCAGAATTGATCAAAGTTGTTTACTAGCTGTATTTCTTTTCTAATTTAATTTCAGGCGAATCAGAACGCTGATACTGCTCAGTTATTTGTGAACTTTCTTGAAGTTCTGATTGATTCACATTTACCGGGAGAAGATTTAAGGACTTCGTATACACCAGTTTTAGGCTTAGGAAATACAGGTCGAGCCAGTAATCTCTCAAGTGATTCCTCCTTAAGTTTATCTAGTGTGCACGGCCCTATAAATGAAGTATCAACTGTTTCTGTCACTTCTTCCATTACATCTGCTGTAACTACTGCAGCTACTAATGTAGACCCATCCGTAAACAGTGAAGACAGAGATGGACCTAGTTCAATATCTCCCATTACTTTGGTCAACGTTCCATGTGTTCTATCAAATAATGATTCTGATGAACTGAAAACAAATTTCTCTACTATTGGCTCAACACCAAAAGACCAACAAGATTTAGATTCTGAATATTTCTCTTCTAGAGGAAGATCTGGGTCAAATGTCAGTGGTTTTGAGCATATAATAAAGGTAAGCATATTTTCTAGCACAATTCACTCTTTATCTTCTGAACCTTGAATATAGTCTATAAATTAATACAAATATATTAGAGTTGGTACAATAGGACTTTTTGTCTCACCTTGATTTATGCAATTAAATCAATCAGTCTATCTTGAAAATATTAACTCTGGCACAATACGTCATCGATCAGTTTTCAACAGTACATGGAGGCTGTTAAAAAGTAGGTTTATGGTAAGAAATTCAGATGAAATTAACTAGGAAAATTCCAAAAGAGACATTTTCTGTATTTCACTACTAGTAACGAATAAATACTACCGTAAATTGTAACTGTTTACAAATATTTATTTCAATATTTTATAGAAATGGGTAAGTAAAATTAAAATCATACTCATCATTCACAAATGTATGTTGTGGCTATGTCGAATGATCTTTTCCCTTGACCCTTTTAAATTATGTGGATCGAACTGTATCGTGTTGAAAATGATGATTAATGATTGAAAAATATTTCAAGGTATTTGCTTCTGTCAACTGCTTGAATATTGCTGTTTTTTCGTTTAGAAGGAAGAATCGAAGAAATTTCAGCCTAATCGTTCGTCTATTTAATCAATTAGAAATAACTATAGAAGTTTTAGTATTTCCAGTGTTTTTCTGAAGACGATATTTATATTTAAAAGTTATCGTCTACGTGTATAAAATAAGGTTTTATCTAAATTGGCATGAATTACTGATGACAAGAGTTGAACATTAACAAAAATACTCCACACTGCTCAATAGATGCAGCAAAATTAAAAAGTTCCCATAGTATATGTAAATATTAGATACTGATGTAATAATTAACAGTAATTCGATGACTGAATAATCTCTGATTTCATATTGTTCAACCCTTAGTTTTGAATGAATTTAATCAGTGCAGTTTTCAATGTAGTCATTGGTCTACATGACTAGAAACTATAGTGCATTCTGTCCTAACATTAAATGTTTGGAGAGAGTTAGAATGAAGTTCTAATTTAAATTTTAATGTTTTTATTGGATATCACTTTTTCGAAAGTTGAAAGTGATCGAGAGCAGATATTCACTAATATATTTTGGGTGATTATATCATCTACTGGAAATGATAACTTTTTCACACTGAAACTTTTTCTCTTACATTTATTCACATAGCAATAATATAATTAGTTGTAAATAATTTTTAACATTTATCATGCGCAAACGTGTACCTTGAACCATAACATGAAATATTTATCGCTCATACTTTTGAGCTGTTGTTATAAACTAAAGAGATATTAACTGTTTGATGAAATATCCAATCAAAAGATTTCGATTTTCGATTTTAAAGAAGCAATTAATACCCAACTGATCCGGGAATACTAATGAGAATATATGAGTTATTATGTGAATGTTCATTTGGTATTGATAGTTATGAATTCTTGCATAATTACTTAAACATTTCCGAATAATCAAAACGTAAGCCTAGAAAACGATATAACCTCAATGCATAGGACGTTTCTTTAAAACTATCTATTTATTACGGTTAATTTGAAAAATGTAATTGGACCAAATATGATTTTCCTTTACAGCGTAAGGGATTTATATATATATTCAAATAGTTTATGTTTATATATATATATATATATATATATATATATATATATATATATATATATATATATATATATATATATGATTTGTTTGTTAAATATTCATAGGGTATTATAAGATTTTATTAGTTTTGTTCATCAATAAATTGATAAACTCTACTTGTATTTATATAATTCTCTTTTTAGTGAACATTCTGGATAGATAATAAACATATTCCCACAATTAATTGAAATGTAATACTTACTTTGTACACACGGCATATTCATTTAATTGACTTTAATTACTCAATCACTTATAATTACTGATATTAAATACAAGACAAATGAACACAAATCATTTTTTTATGATGCTAAATGTTGATTAAAAACCAAAAGAAGATTTGTTTACAAAAGAAAAAAAGTATTCATTCCTTTTTTCTTTCCCTTCCATACTCTCTCTCTCTCTCTCTCGTAATCTGTTTACTTTCACTACTTTTGAATAAGTAGTTAACCATTTTATCTACTGTATGTATAACTGAATAGATTTCAACATAGAACTAGATACTTTTCTGATCAAATTACATTTATTTGTTCATCAGAGTTTATCTATTAAGATGGAAAGTTTTGTTCATTGATTATTTTTTTTTAATTCATTATTTGCAAAGAAGAAATTCCTAACCATGTATTACATACTTGTCAACATAATTCTAAATAATATTTAATTTAACACATCCGAGTGAATTTCAAATTCATTTGTTTGAATCTATGACAATTTATTAAATATTACCGGAAATTACATTTTTAAACTTTATTATTATCAAATCTTTTGAGGATAAGTTCATTAACAATAAAGCCAATTTATGCATTTAACCAATTTATGTGTATAATGTATTAAAATATAAAAATCTAAGTGTTTACATTTCTATACATCTTTTTTTCATGAAAAAGAATTAACCTAAACTTTTATCTTATTTTTCTTAATAACAAACAATCATTGAAGAAATATTTCAATCACTCTATTCCTGACAACAACAAAATGTTTTTGTGTAATAGAACATTACCATTGTGCTTTCGTTCGTTGTCATCATTTTTATTTTTATTTTCAGAACATTTACACTCATCAATCAAATTATAGTGTATTTTGTTTTCTGTGCTTTTTTTGTGTGGTCTAACTTATGTTGTTTTCTTTTCTCAGCTTCAACTTTATTTGCTTCTTTACATTGATCAAATAAAAAATAATCAACAAACTATCTGTTTTAATTTTCCATCACTATGTGACGACAGTTATAATGACTATTATTATTATGATTATTGAACTATATACGCACCGACCCAAACATGAGTAAGAGTAAAGTTTCAATGATCTATTTTTAATCTTTCTTGTCCAGATTTGCTTATTATTTAATTTCATATAACTGAAAAATTCTGCATTTCTATTTTGATGTCTTTGTGAGTGTTTGTGTATATTTATAATTGTCTATTTGAATTTCAGAAAGTAATCATCAAAAAAAAGACAAAGTAAAGATGATTTCATTCAATATTTTTCAATGTTTTCATTTTATGAATTATTATAACTTGTTCTATATCATTCTGCTTTTCATTGTCTTTAACATTTGATGTTATTTTCCAGTGCATGTGTACTGTTTCACTCCTATTATATTATCGGATATCTGTGTGAACCCATGATGAGAATTATAGTGATAATCAAACAACTTTCCATAAAATCAAAATAAAACATTCAATTAACGACTGCTCTTCAGTTTATTAAGTGTTATAGTTTAATGAAAAGTTATTTTTATAGATTTGTTTTTTATTAGAAATAATTGAACAACTTAGTTAAATTGATGGTTTGGTACATTGTAAAAATCCACATAGAGCTTCAGGCTCCTAATAAAGTATTCCTATTCAATAAGATTTAATTAACTGTGTACTTGAAGCCTATATAAACAGATTCACTTGAGAGGATAAATTTGAATTAAATGTAAACAGATTGATGATTACCTCAATACGTTTGTGCCAGTACCTAATTGAAATCGTAAAACTATAATTTAGGATGACCTTCAGGTTACGGCAGAGTGGTGAGACTTTAATTTATGGACGTACCAATCAGATCTAGGATAACGGGTCTTGAATTTTGGAGCGAAATTCAGTCATCTACATAGTTAAATACGATTTTGGCATTATAGCTGATTTCGTTTCGTGATAGAAACCCTAAGTCTAATTCCTTACCTTAACCATCAACATTAAATCATAATCCTAATTCCTCATACTGGTTTATAACCCTCGATAAGAAATGAGTGTTAATTTTATCAGATTTTTTAGTAACCCATGACATTAGGCTCTTTGCTACTTCAATTTATATCAGTTACTTTATCGGTAAATAACAAACCAAATCTTTTTAACTAGCAATCTGAATAATAAATCTTTTCAATAAATTATTTTCCAAACTTTATAAAAACAATGGCATTAAGCAGCAAAAATAAGACAAATTCCAATATCACTAATATTTTTTAAGATGTTCATAAACTGTTTCGTAGACAGCGAATGTACATGCATTAACTACAAATGCTCTAGTGATAACAACGTTAAATCCACGGAAAAATATTTTGTAGCTTTTTTCTTTTAATAGTGTATTTAGAACATTTGTAATTGTGATTCCATTACCAACTTGTTGTCTTGTTTTTATTACGTCCTAAAATTGTAAATCAATAATAATGGATTAATAATTAAGATCTATGGAGTACTTTCGGTGAGGATTTGTCGAATAAAAAGTAGGGACATGTACGATAATAAGATTTTTCCTAAATAATTGATATCTACGTAGTTCAAAGATATCTATAACAACTTAAACAAGCTTATCCATAATAATTTAACGGATTAATTGATTTAGAGGCGAGTTTTAATCAACGATTGAAATTACTTAGGGAATCATTAAAAACCATAGAGCACTGTAAAGTTATTTATTCCTTGTAACTTAGAACTACTTATTCTTGACTCCATACAGGATCAGATGTGAAGCTTTTACAGCACTGGATTACCAAGATCAGTCAGCAGAACCTGGTTTAGAAGAATGTTGTAGTTGATATCATCCCGTGATGAAAGCTAACTTTGGACTGTACAATCTTCATAAATGGCTTCTAATAGATAATGTTTCACTTTACAACAAAACATTGAATTCGAATATATAATAAGTCAAATACTATATCACTTGTTGATCAAGATGCCTAAAACATGCTTTGTTTAAACAATACTAACACCTACCTTGAAGTACACTGCTAACCAGTATAAGACTGTATTGGAAGAAAACTAGGGGGATCCAAAACAAGGACTTAGGATCAGTTCATCTAAACACTGACCGTTGAAGTAAGCTCTGGAGGTAGGTGCAGACTATCTAGATAAGAGCTAAAGTTAGAGGCATCTAGAAATCACTCTTGGGGGCCTAGATATATTTAATTTCTGTCTATCTAAAATAAATTATTTTCTACATTATATTCATCCTTTCAGACCATGTCTTCTATGTGTAGTCAGTATCATGAATCATTAAAAATTCATTAATTATAAACATTCAAGTTAATCAAACTATCATAAAATGATTCCTATTTTAAAAGTGATATCTGGAAAATGTCAACTATTTGGCACTGATCCAATGGTCACCACAAAAAAACAAATAAATAAATAGACATCTAAAGTTCAGTTTTGTATAGGTTTTTTTTATGTCTACTTTATGAGGAATTTTTACTGCTCTTTGATTTTCAGCAGTCTACCAGACGTTTTGAGTTTCTGTTTGAAAACACTTCTTAATATTTTATTACATTTTATCAACAACTACATGGCCTAGAATAAACCATACTAAAACAATTAGAATTTGATATTTATAGTTTCTTCCTTCTTTTTCTTCTCCTCCTAATCACTACAAAAAGTCGAAATATTGTTTTCTATTTGTTTTTATTTTTTAAAAAGCCAATTATTTTTGTTTTTGATTGAGATCATGAACCGATTGATGCAAGACCACCAGGTTTTCAATGGTGGTCTAACATCAATCGGTTCATGATCTCAATCAAAAACTTAACAACCTTCACAACCCCTATACTGATATTTTTGTTTTTTCTTATTTAAAAAAGACTATCTGTACTATAAAAGTCCATTTAATATTGAATTATTTTTTTCTATTTTTCCCCATAAATTTTATTTTAAACATTTCACCTATCAAATCAATTCAATTATCAATGAATAATTTTCAAATTATATTCAATAATAGGACGGAAACGCGCGTCCTGGATTCCACTGCTAGCCACTATCCATCATTGTGTTACAAAAAGCTTGTGAATTAAGGCAATATCGAGGCAATACGCACAGTATGCACATATGTCAATAACACACTGATCAATTGCAATCTTAAACCTCAATGGGAAGATACAAGCCAAATAATACCAAGTGAATTTATATTCAATAATGTGTTGTTTTTTTTTAATTTTTTATATCACCTTAATGTAAACTATTTTAAATTTTCTAATCGGGTAAAACAACAATGATGTACATTTTTTATGTAACCGGAAGTAGTAAAAAAATATATATTCCATGTTCCAATTATTTTACTAGATTTAGTTTGATTGATACGTTTATTCTTTATTCAGTCTAAAAATATTTATCGACCACAGATTTATTTTATATAAATTTCATTTTGTTTTTTTCAACAACAAAAAAACATACCTATTCATCCTTAGTGAAATCGAATTGTGGCTAGTAGTGAGATAGGAAACGTACGTTTCATTCTATTTAAGATCCGTACATAGATAACTCCATAACTATTGAACAAACTAGTAGCTATATGGATTAATGGGCTTAATATATAACTAAAGGGGGTTTGAAATGATAGGTACAGTGTGAATATCAAGACCGGAATACAAGTACAAACTAGTAACGAGTCATGTAGTAAGCCCATTTAACTATTTTTATTGCTCACTAGTGACTGGCTTCAAGGGGTATTTCCTGTAGTTCTAGTGAGAAACAGTGACCAGTGGAGTTCAATCGAATCTGTTGTGAGGTAGTAACTCACTGAAGACAATCGCGGATGTGTCGCTCAATTTCGTGGATTAGTTGAAGTTAGACATTAATTCCTTTGAATACAGGCTCAATGTTCTAAAGGTTAAGCGTTCGGGTGAGAGATTGATAGGTCCTGGGTTCGAATCTCGAGAGGTGTGGTCATGGATGCGCACTGCTGAGGAGTCCAACAATAGAACGAAATGGCTGTCTAGTGCTTCCAGGTTTTTTATGGTGGTCTACCTTCAACTGACTCGTGATCTCAACTATTAAAATTTCTATAATATCCACAAAAAAACTCTCCTGATAATGTCCTATTTGTCTGCTCATTGTAATTTAGGCATTTAATCCACTATGTAAATTTATGTGTGAGTCTGATTGATAGCATGTCTGCATATCAATCTTTAATCTATTCTCTCATTGGTTGTAACACACAGGCAATCGATAATTTATCCACAATCAATTAACACTTATAGGTATCTACAGGGATTTTTATCATTTACTCGTTTCTCCTTGTGCTTGTTTTCTGCACGCTTGCGGATTTCACTGGTCTTTAACAATGAACTATCTCTACAATTGGTGTTCAAGCTTTTGCATAATTTCGAGTAAATCCATAATACTATAGTGAACAGAACATGAGTTGGGACAATCGACTGTAGTTAACACAAAATTACAGGAATTGTTATTAAAATCTAACAATCAAATAGTAAATACGTAATTTGCAAAATGTTCATCAATTGTCTCATAATGACTCAGACTTCATTGTTCTTGCATTTTCACACAAGTTGCATTCTGTTTCCATTCTTTACTGTTCGATCCTCTTGTCTCTCTACTGCCAGACATTCTGTTCACGAATAACATCATCTACTACTTATGTCAATATAAGTAGCACACACCACAATACTAGTAGGAGATTTAGCATGCGTTAAATACTCAGTTAACGGGATACTATTTATTGGAGTCAGATATAGAGGAATTTAATACCTACAGTCTTAAATAGAACGAAACTCATATCCTGAATACCACTGTTGAGGATAATACAATTTTACCAAAACTTACGGGAAAATAGCGATATCTAAACGATCCACTCAAGATAAACGTATACCAATAGAGAATGATTAATTACTATCCCTAATATCAACAATGCGAAATTAAAATTCCTTATAGATACGTAACCATTTTTATTAACTTACAAATGGCATTGAAACACACCAAGATAATGCTCCACTTATTGCACCACCAATAAAAGCAGACCAAAATGTTGACAAACCAATATGTTTTCCTATTTTTATTGATTCAGAATAAGCATAAAAATAAGCAGTCAGTCCTGGAATATCACGAAATGCTTGAATAATTGTTCCTGAGTAAAATCCAGTAAATCCTTGCATACGTAAAATGGTATGAATACATTTTCTAGCAGTCAGTTGTTTTTCACCTGTTAAGCAAATAAACAAACACAATATGTACAAAGTTATTATTAACTAATTACTGATCAGTTACTTAGTTCATTCTCATTCATAGTGTATTTATGCACACAATTTTATGTTTATTTTGTTGTGCTATCAAGAATTTACTCCGTATTATTGTATTAGTTGGGACTGTAGAAATGCTTGCTGACTTGTCCTCTACTTTGACACTGGGTTAGAAGTGGATCAAGGAACAATAGGTACTAAGATCTCGGTCATTGTTCATCGGTCACTGGGTCATTGGTAAATCAGGTCATCTGTTCTAAAGATATCTAGCGAATTATTCAGTAATCGAACCAGACAATATCACTGCTCCCATAATAACAGCCACATCAAACGAATCCCAGTACTCTACAAGTATTTGTTCTTTTTCAAATATAAAAAGGTTAAGAGCTGACCAGAAGACGTTGAGGTCTTACTTTAATCCCTGGTGGGGTTATGGATGTTCATTACAGAGGACTATCGTACCAGGATAAGACATCAACCCAGAGCCTCTTCATTTTCAGTGGTTATCTGACTAAGATCGGTCAGTGATATAAAACTCCAAACTATTCACAACCTACTATGCTACGAAATAACTATGTTTGATAATTAAAAATTACGTGAAAATTTTAAATATATATTTTTGAATATAAAGCATTAGTATAAATACATCAATCTACCTGGATGACTTGCTTTAGATTGTTGTCGTATTTTAATAACTTCAACTGGAACAGCTGGTATCAATTGTACAGCTCCTGATATAGCACCGGCCATAGCATTTGCAAATGGGGACTGACCAGTTGCATCAAATATACTTAGTGACTCTTTGTATGCAGTAAATACTACGGCATTGATAAATCCATATGAATAAAACGGAATTGCAAGCCCAGTAAAAAATCGTCTCTAATGTTAAAAGAAATAGAAAAAGACGGTATATACAATTTAAAATAATTAATCCCTTTAAATGTTGTATTGACTAGACTAAATTTCGATACATGAAGATATTTATTTAGCTGATTAAAGTTCGTGTATTATTCTCTATCATAGTAGAACATTGTAAAAAATAAGAAAACTACTTCACAACTTGTTAGATTGTCCACTACTTAAAAGAAATTAGGCATTTTATACATTCAGCATCACTTTAGTTAAATGAAAGTAATACAAACAATTCCATGGTGTTCTAACTTCAATGGACTCACGAACTCAACTACTAAAATACAATTGTTTGCTTGTTACTACATTAACAGACAACTAATTAATACTGACCTGAAAGCAAACTCATCAAAATTAGATAACTTTGAACTGATCAACTGATATAAACAGCCATCAATAGTTAATTATTATCACTAAATTATACCATCGTATTTAGTTGTCAAACATATGATCAATAATCAAGAGATCGTTTATTCAGCATCAAATACACAATCTTTCGACTCAGTCATGAAACACTAAATTCTTACGTAGTAATGATTTTTTTAAAAAGACTGCTCGTTAAACTCGTTTTCAAACTTACTAGTCCGGTTTCAAGAATCGAATCAGTCGCTTCTTTAAATGTTAAATTTCTCGACGAACTTTGCATAACAACTTTGACAGTATCCATTGGATGACCAACCGTTAAGCCAGCTAATCCTTTTTGAGAAATAAAAAAGAAACATTATACAGTTCTATTACACATTTTTATGATTAAATGTAAATTCGTTGTGAAATTACACATAGTTTTACTCCATCCTCATTCTTATACCAATGAGAGATATTGAAAAACATATTATTATGTAGTGAAAATTCCCACTTTGCCATTTGGTAAATAAAGAAGGAACGAATTGAGCGAAGAAATTTCTTTTTAATTAGTTGTTCATCATGGCTCTACACTAATATATATATATGATTTACAATAATAAAGTTAGGTTTGTGAACATGGATTGCGATGGCTTCCGCAATGTGCAAAAGGCGCACCTGTAAACCATGTAGCAAATTTGATGGGATATTGTAGATAACCTTAAAAGCTTTATTCAATTCAACCTGATGACTTGTGTCAACCAAGTGAGAGAGAATAGAACTTTTAATCACTTTTACCTGTCCTTTGTTTAACCACGATGGATGATGTTCTGTAATACTATGACATCGTTTGTCATATTTTATATATATATATAATATGTTTTACAGTTTCCTATCTTAATCTCTTCATCTATTTTATCTGTGAATAGTCAACTTTATAGATTATACTTAAAATTTCTTCTAGATTGTTTACACTTTTTGCCAAACTAATCCTATGTTATCTATAACTTTGATCCAGGTATTTCTGTAAATACAATATAAAGTATCGCCTTCTTGGATAATTTTTATTATTCATTCTACGTTGTAAAGAATTTATGAAATAGATAAATTTACATTATTCAGCTATGATTGTTGTTTATAACCTATAGAAATAATTCAATTTTTAATATACCCATGAGATCATAGAATAAATTGTTTTATTATTTCAAATAAATTAAGTTTGTGTTTTTACGTAAAGCATTTACTAATTAACCATTGTGAAAAACATACTGTACATTTAATTTGAACTAAAGAATTATTTTTCATAAAGGCAAATTACATACAGAAAAGATTGACAATATTCAATTAACAGATTGAAATCATGAGTCAGTTGAAGCTAGACCACCATTAAAAACCTGGAAGCACTAGACGGCCATTTTGTCCTATTGTTGGACTCCTCAGCAGTGCACATCCACAGCCACGCCTCTCGAGATTCGAACCCAGGACCTATCAACCTCTCACCCGAACGCTTAACCTCTAGACCACTGAGCGGGTATCCAACGGTGTTAATGTCTAACTTCAACTAATCAACAAAATATGTAATGCATGTAATTAATCAGTCACTACATTTATCCTAATCAAAAATCACAGATGATACTACTAATGAGTTTAAGAATTTTATTTGTTTATTTTTCATATTTTAACTGATGGTCATTGGTTAGATCAATGAACTAATCTTTATGATTACACTGTGGATCGTTGAATACTGAATGAATAGCAAAGTAATACAGAGAATTCACCAGCCATATTACCATTTCTTAATAGAGAATACGTTTATTTACAAGAAAGAAAACTAAAATTAACAAATTACTTTTGAATTTGTAATCAAATTGTGTTCATGATCAGTAGTAATTACAATAATTATTGTGTTATATCCTAGTGAAGATTAAATTACGGATAACTTCTGAGAACTATTAATGGACTAATATTATATGTATATTCCTAGATTATGTACATCTCTATTCCTCCTATTATAAGCTTCATTTTGACCTACAGATTATTATTATTATTATACGGTTTACTGTTTGTCTTTTTTTATGTTCGGTTTATTGATTATAGTCTCCCACGTTCACAGCACTTTTTGACTTGATCTTGTATAAATGTTATTTCCTATTTTATGGTGTGATGTGATCTGTTTGGCTTATATATAATTCAAGTATGTTTGAAATAAATGATTCGCATAGTAGAAGCTGTTATTGGCGTTCTGGACTCAACTGGATAGGTTAGGCGAACAAAGGACTCTAGGCTGCTCATACCGGGTCGAACGTCGATGGCTTAGCACAATACTAAAACTGAATGAGTCATATTTCGATAAGCCACGTGACAACTAGCCAGGCTTAAGGTCACGACATAATCACTGACAAATAATATGATCATGTGTTTAAAAAAATGTGAATCATTAGACAAATTATTATTATTATTATATTATTATTATTATGAGCACAGATTCATTAGATTATCGAATATATTTTTATCTTTTTTATGCTTTTTTTCAAAAAACAAAACAATTTAATGAAGAGTTTCACTGGGTAATTGAAAATTTAATAATAAACTTTCTTCATTTCTATTGATTTTTGATGGTTATCGATTTTTAAATAGAATCAATTTCTAAGTTATATGAAAATTATCAATCGTATATTGAATTATTGATTGATTGTTTCGTGTAACTAATCAAAACTTTTAAATAAATTTATATAAACAGTCTGTATAAACAGAATATTTATATATGAGAAGATGGTATTATATATATGGATAATAAATCATTTTGAAATGAACATTACATTTTAATATCATCTATAGTGATTCTCATACAAAATATCTGGTTCTATGATATTGAAATAGTCAATGAATTTCAATTTCATACACATAGTTCCCTTTATCATTTTGAAAAGAGCAAGAACAAACATTTCAGCAGAATAGCATGAATTCATTTCTTTATTTCGTTGGTTCTCGTCAACTGCTTACACAACCTGTGATATTTAAAATCATAATTACATAATGGGTTTAAATTACTTACATAAAAGAGTTTGATTGGAAGTTATATTGAAGACATATTCGTATAGTATAGCAAGGGTGTAAATAAATGTAATCGACTGAATATTGTAAATATATACCTTATGTAAAAGAATATTGTGTGAACAGTTCAAACGGCTAGAAATAAGTAAACATTGATAGGAATAAAATGAGTAGAATTCAGTTGATAAAATAAGATTAATAATTTCGAAGATAATTAGAATACAACTCAATGATGTGATAAATGTGCAAGGCCTTGGTGACTAATATTCCTTCGCTGTATCTTAATATTTTTTCTTTTCTTTAAACACTTTCTTGCACATTTATCACATCATTGAGTTGTATTCTAATTATCTTCGAAATTATTAATCTTATTTTATCAACTGAATTCTACTCATTTTATTCCTATCAATGTTTACTTATTTCTAGCCGTTTGAACTGTTCACACAATATTCTTTTACATAAGGTATATATTTACAATATTCAGTCGATTACATTTATTTACACCCTTGCTATACTATACGAATATGTCTTCAATATAACTTCCAATCAAACTCTTTTATGTAAGTAATTTAAACCCATTATGTAATTATGATTTTAAATATCACAGGTTGTAAGCAGTTGACGAGAACCAACGAAATAAAGAAATGAATTCATGCTATTCTGCTGAAATGTTTGTTCTTGCTCTTTTCAGAATTTCAATTTATCTGATTGAAGTTAACCATATCTAATGATGTAATGGATAATCACTGAGAAATAATTCATTTGATCTTTTTTTAATCCTAATTCATATTTGATTGAAATAAATCATTGTATAACTATTACTTATTACATTTTATCAAATGTCTTAACGAGTAATTCTTATATTTGATATATTTTCATTAAGAAATTCAGTTAACATATTTAAATATATAGACAATAAGTAAACTTATTACATAAGTTAATACAAAAATACTGTCCGACTAAACAAATCAAAACTGATTAAATATGGTTATGATTTACAATTCAATGGTGAAAAAATTGATTCATAACCCCATTGGATCGAAGATCTCTTATGATTAACTTAACAATTCATTTTATTCTAACACAGTTTTCATTTTAATGTTAACTGTGAAACTATATGACATGGATACCGCTTAAATAAATTTTTTTAAAAAGTTACAATCAAATACATTACGAAATCAAAATATTTCTGTTAAATTACACCATTTCAGAATAAAATTATCAATAATATTCATCTATTGAATATACTTACCTCCAATAGCACCAGCTAAAAATTCATTGAATGTTTGTCTTGACATTGATGATAAACTAATTAACATATAAGAAGGGTGAAAAATGATTTGACCATATCATTCTCATATATAATAATAATAATTTATATATCCTGAAAATAATAATTACGGAATTCATGCCAGTTTACAGGCATGATCAATTTGATATAAATAGTAACATTAGATGTAGAGGATAAAGACGTGATATAAGATACTTTTAAGTATACTAGTTCAGTAATTGTTTAGGTAGTACATGTATTACAGTGATCCAATGCATCAGCCGGGAATTTTTAATATTTCCTAAATGGACAGCCTGTTGATTTATGAACGGAGTAATTACGGTCATTTCGTGTGCCAGATCGAATAAATTATAATTATCGACATCTAGAGAAAGTAAAATGAAAACAGAGAGCACGGAACAACAAAGCAGTAATTACCAAATTATGTCAATCAGGTCTACTAAAATGCGTGTGTCATGTGACAAAGTGATATACTGTTGATGTTATTCAAATTAGTTAAACTTGCTAGAGACGGTGTTAACATAAAGTGACAGCAAGTAAGTGGTTTTACTTAGAGAATGCATTAATAAAAAAATGGCTAAACATTTAAAGTTCCTATAATATCACTTGTAGAATGAGATACACTTACAGGTGCTAGAACATTCAATGCATTTTCAGAGGACCAGTATGCATCGATGCAGCGAACAAATATATTACAAGTATATTACCTGTTAATAAACGACTTTGTAATTATAAGCAAATGAACATCAAACATTATTATTATTATTATTATCATAACGCGTTATCAAAACAAACTTACATGGTTTGTTGTTGATATTGTTCAAGAATCAATTTGAAATAGGAATTAGTTACTTTGTTTAAATATTAATTTTTTTAAAATTGATATGATTTGAATAAAATAGATTTTAGTAAAACATTAGTCTATTCATGAGGAAGATAATCACAGTTGTCAAAACAAAAAACACGAAAAACATTGGACAATCATTACATACTTAAAACAATTTTCTAGATATATGGATGTCGTTTGTTGTTTTATCAATACTATCCATAGTATGAAAATCTTGGCTTATTAGGAATAGTTGATGTATATATATATATATATATATATATATATATATATATCATTTTAATAGAGAATTAAATGATGAACAAATGAATGAATCCAGACATAAAAATTTAATCAAGAGCATTTGTTTTAATGTATTAACCAATTATATTTATAATAATGGCAAACATTTAAAGAGTTAATAATGATAATCCAGAAGTTGATTTTCCGATCAATGGTAGATTATCAATCAAACATGTAACACTTCAATTGTTGACACGATTACATTTTTGTATATTAAATATGTTATGCACGTTTTAGGAATTCCTAATAGATATTATTCTTTTTTTTTACAATTAGTACAATATATGAATGTTGAAGTAGGAAACATACCTGAGCCTCAACTGCTTTGATTTGTCAGACAGATGTTCACATTGTCTGCTTTATTTGAAGACAAGAAAACATAAGATTTAAGATAAACTTGATAGCATTCCTCAAGGCCAAAGGAAAAGAGGAACACCAAAGAACACATTACGCCGGGAAATGGGGATCGACATGAGAAAAATGAACAAGAACTGGGTGGAACTAGAAAAAAAGGCCCAGGACAGAGTGGGTTGGAGAATGCTGGTCGGCGGCCTTATGCTCCATTGGGAGTAACAGGCGTAAGTAAGTGAGTGATAGCATTAAGATAAAGAAGTCAGATATGGTTCAAATTCAAGCCATGAAAATGTATGTTTTAAAATATTAATATTTCTAAATAAATATATATATATATATATTTGTAATATCCCATTGAGTAGGAAAATTAGATTTTTTGACGTTTCGTGACTTAATGTAAGCCACTTTTTCAGAGAATAAAAAAGTGGCTTACACTGAGTCACTGAGTCAGAAAATCTAATTTTTCTACTCATTGGGATATTACAAATATATTAATTAATTACTTTATTGATAACAATTTACCCAATGCTCAATTATCAAGTCAAACCTTGATAACGATACCTATAAAATCAATATTTCTGTTATGTTACGTATAATAAGTTCAGTGACTAGTTCCAAATAAATTATGCAACTTGGAGGTGGAATAGTAGATGAAAAGAATACATTCCATCTTTAACCTTGACATAAGAATCATGGTACTTTCAAGTTAGATAACTTGATTTACTTATCACTATTTATTGATCACTTCGCATAATTTAAAATAAACATTGCAATATTTCTTACAATCACTAGCTAAGAAAGAATTGTTTTAGCTTAGTGAAAATACATCTGTATCGCTATTATTTTATGTTGTCATGGTGACTTACACATGATATTGTCGTTAATTTATCACAAATTACCAAGAGTCCCTTGAACACATGGTTGTTGATAAATTTAGTGAAATACAATTTTAATTGAATTATGCCAAATTTTTCTATTATTTTTGTCATTATTATCGAATATTTTTATAGTTTACACCACGAACTGACCTTATATGTCTAATTAAGGTCAGTTTGTAATGTATACTATAAAAAAGTCCATCAATCTTTATAAACGTATAACACTAGTAACTATCAAGTGAATTACAATACTCTGGTACTTAAAATATAAAAATCGTCATTGTGTAGATTAGAGTAACACATGTAATAGGACAATATATTGCTTTGAATTGTACTCTTGTGATATTTGTTATCTCACAATAGTTGAAATAATGTTTAGCTGAGCATAATGTGATTTCAAAACCTTTTAGCAAATCACTATACTATATTGGCTACGTGTGTTGAGTAGTAATATTGAATTCAGTGTACACACTAGCGACTCTCAGATTAGTCCAAAACGTACTCTAGTATATATAAATGGACCATTACTCTAGTAAGAAATAAAACAGTGACAGATATGAAAGTATTGTATTGTAATTAAAACTAAGCATTTTTTTAATGTATATAACAATTATCATTTAGTACAAACATTGGATAACTATGAAACTACTTCTCTTGTAAGTACTTTGATATAAAAATATCACGGAAGAGACAAATTAAATATATTACTCTGAAGAAAATTCTTTAGAACAATAATAAATATTTTTACATCTAAAATGTAACCAATTTTGAATCTTAGCTATTTTCTGAGTGCTTCTCAAATCAGTTTAATCACGGCTAACATATTTAGACGTTTTTCATTTAAAAAATTAAGCTTTATTATTTTATTTATCTAGAAATTACTTACGCCTGTTACTCCTCGTGAAGGAGCATAGGCCGCTCACCAGCATTCTCCATCCAACCATGTCCTGGACAATCCTTTCCAGCTCCTCTCAGTTGTTATTCATCCTTTTCATATCTGTTTCTATTTCCCGACGTAATCTGTTCTTTGGCCTTCCTCTTTTCTGCTTCCCTTCAAGATTCCAAGTTAGGGCTTGCTTATTTATCTAGAAATACATTAAACTAAATAAAGATCTATAAATGGCTATTTATTTGTAGTTTAAGATATCTCAAGAGCACACGTCTCCTACTTTCATATGAAATAAAACACAGGAAATATAGGCTTCGTTATTCTTATTTCCTAACTACCAGTATGATTCGGTTGACCTATAAATAAGAAATAGTTTATCACTACTTTAAACAATGGCTCATTTAACAAAGGCTTACAGATCGAATAACTGTAATTATTGTCTTCTCTTTGAATTTCAAGATTGAAATATACAACAGAATTAATGAACAGATCCAAACTTTTTTTCAGTAAATTATGTTTGCAAAATGATGAATAAAGAATCATGTTCAATCAGTGTATGATGTGAAATGAATTACAAATATGATATAGTATACTAATTAATAAATTACTCATTTCAATATTTCATTGTACAATGAAACAATATTGATTGGAAATAATTTTGAAAATTGAGTAACATATGTATTGAGAAGTGACATGCATACAATTTTCCTTGGTTTCTAATTACTTTGTAGCTGAAATCAAACAGTGAGAAGAACTACTTCAGTGAATTTAAACAGCCTTAATAATCAACTAAATAACTTAGCAAATAGTTTTCTTCAAATGATTGTTGTTTGAGAAAAACAGTCTGTTAAGTCAGTAATTGATTGATTTCTTAAAACTCATATCATATTTTATATCTGATTAACTGTTATTACTAATTTTAGTCCATCGTCTTCACTTGTGATTATGGACAAAGTGAATTTACACCAAAGTGAATTTAGCAGTCTGATAATTACGTCCAAAGATGTGCAACACAATGACTGCTAATGGATTATCTGAACAATATGATACCATGAGAGTTGAGAATGAAATTCAAACTGTTACAGTTAAAACAATGAATGGTACTAAAGATACACCCTTCTCTGAATATACAATATTGGTTCAACTGTTAGCACTGTGATAGAATATTTGATTTCTAAATAAATCAGTGATTCAGGAGGAGTTTTGTTCTATTACAGTACGACAGAAATAAATGAAAACGTAGTTCACTAGATGGAATTATTTCTGTCTTTCTTTGTTTCGCAATAGCATTTTTATACGAGTTTGTTTCAGGCATCTCTTAGTGTCTATAAAGAGACTATATCTAAGCTTGAATAATAGCAATATTGGTTCTTGTTAAAAGTATTTTTGACAACCCAATAATTTTAAATTACTTCATCTACGTGAAGCTTCATTCCCTCTTCATTAACTTCTATAAACTCGTCATTGACATGCACATTACTAATACAATTAGTCCTTTTGGTTAAATCTTTCTTCTAATTCTTCAGACTATAATATGACCATGTATAAATTAGAAATGGTTTTATTTACTTTTGAACGATTCCACGTTTCATGTATTTTCGATCAGTCGAATTGCAATTAATTCGGTCGTTTAGTCCAGTCGTTTATTTACCCCCCCCCTCAAATGTCCTGGTATGGTCGAAGATAGATGGGACTGGGCTTCTTATTTGAAATGCTTTTGTACAGTTACGAGTTTATAGTCTCTGCCATGGAAGTCCTACTCACTGCCCTCACGCAGT